CTCCACCCTCACCAGCTCCGCCTTCTCTTGTCCTACACTCGCTCTCCTCTTAGTACCTACTTGATAGGGAAATTGTACTCTAAGGATAAGATGAGGGAGCAACCACCTCCTCAGGTGCCAACCAGACACCTCTTCAATAAAGGACCCGTTAGAAAATTAAGAGACATCCTTTTTCCCTGACATATACCTTGGAGGCCGAATATGCTGTGTACTGGGGACAGGGATTGCAGCAGCTGATAGAAGAAATGTTGACAATGGCCCCCTTCTTCCTATGCACCATGCCGGGCAACACCAGGTGCGCCATCATGTTGGCGGCTCCAATGTTTACATTGATGAACTCCCAAATCTGAGTCTCCGTCAAATTGGTGAAGGAATCGGGCAGAGGGTTAAGCAGCCCGACATTGTTGACCAAGACGCCGATCTCTTTGCCTTCCAGAACCTTCTTAATGACCGGATAGGCCTCGCGGCCCCTGCTAAAATCCGTCACGACAGTCATGGTGCTGATGTTGTAAGTCTCCATGATCTCTTTAGCAGAAGCTTCTAATTCATCCCGGTTCCGGCTAATCAAGATGAGGTCAACTCCACAACTGGCCAGCTCCTTAGCGTAGGAAAGGCCGATGCCCGAGGCTGCTCCTGCAAGGAAGCAGAGACCCATGGGTTTTCTGACCCAGTTTCCCAACACATCGAACCCCCTGTCTTTAAACCAATGATTCCTTTATTAGGAGTGCTGGCAGCCCTGGCAAACAGTTTCTGGCTAACAAGTCTGTCCAGCAGGGAGCTGAATAGTTGCCTGCCACATCTATTCATCTCTGCCCCTGCCTTTTATACTCAGAGCTAGGGTGGGGCTTTGCTAGCAGCAGTGGCTCTTCCATCCCAAGAACCGGCCCATAGATTTCCACTGTTCTCCTCTCCTCTGGCTAGGGAATACTGGGAATTGAAATCCACAGGTGTTAAAGTTACCGAGGCTGTACCTACGCAGAACAAAAAAATCTGAAAGCAGATGCCTAGCTTTAGGTTATCAGAAGGACATCCAAAATATTATAATTCTTGTTATTTTGTGGGAGAAATTATACATGAAGCCGTGGAGGGGGAAGGGCGGATTTCTTACCTGTGACCACAGCCCATTTTCCATACCGCTTGCTTAAGTCAGGCCGGCCAAAGATCCGGGGAACAAAATGCACCCTAATCAGCACATAGGTGTCACTCAAAATGGTGACGCACACTTTGCTTGCGTAGAAGGCTCCCACAACCGCTAGCATCTCCATGCAGTAGTGGTAGGACCGTCCAATCTCCCGCATCAACAGGGAGAAACTGTCCACCGCGGCCATCGCAAGCAGATTATCTGGGAAGGGAAAAATACGAGAGATATCCATTAAGATGAATTTATGTGAGATACAGGATTACCTGCAACCACTCGTTTAGCAACCATTTAAAGTTACGATGACACTGGAAAATAGTTAAGGGTGCACTCCTCACACTTAACAATTGTCACAGTATTCCCATGGTCACATGATCAAAATTTGGGCCCTTGGCAACTGGCATGTATTTAGGGTAGTTGCAATGTCCCAGGGTCACGGAGTCACCATTTGAAAACTTCCCAGCCAGCTGGCTTTGTAGAATAGAACAGTGGCTGCCAACCAGCGGGCCGGGGACCGCTGGTGGTCCGTGAGAAAATTTTGGTGGTCCGCAATGTCACCCCCAAAACAATTAATCCAGGCTGCGCTGCCCACATGTCCCGTGGGAACACAAGGCTTGCGTCGCTTGCATTGGGAATAACACGAGGTAGTGAGGGGAAGGGGAGAAGGGCAGGCAGGGGGAACTTGCCCCAAACGCCTGGCCTGGTCACAGGGCTTCTTCTTTCTGCTTCTTTCTTCTTCTGCTTTTGGCTGCATGCAAGGAAAGCAGCAAAAGTCTCGGTCTCTCTCTCTCTCTCTCTTTCTCAGCTGGTTGTTTGCATCCTTTTAGAGGGTTCTTGAGGCCACTTGGAGGTTTGTCTGTGTCCTCAGGGTTACCTGAGTCAGAGCTGAAGAAGCTTCTTAGATGAGAAGCAAAACATCTCCAAAAGAAAAAAAATAAGGAAGTCCAGTTGCCTCCTGAAAAAGCACCTTTAGGACAACCACACTGGTGACTGAGAATCTCCACAGATGAGATCATATTTGATTTTAAAATGTGTGTGTCCAACAGAGAACCAAAAAAAAAAAAGGGGGACAGTCTCCTTTGACTGGACATCTGGTAATCCAAAAGTCGGGAGCATAGATGTCTCCATCTTTGGAACATTTAGCACATTTAGCCAGCATGTGGCTGGCGTGGTAGCAAACTCATACATTACATCGTTTTCAAAGGCACACTATTATTGCAAAGCAGGGCACAAGCATCATCTTGAGAGCAGCAAGAATAAATTCCTAAACTGATTAAGGCAAGCCAATTAAGATAGAATCTCTTTGAAAGGTTTTTTTTTTCCTCCCCTCCTATAAACTTCAACTGAACTCTCCAACCTGTCTCTCCCCATTTTCCCCACTGCTGAATCAAGCTAAACGTGGCTGATTTATGTCTATTTACTCAGAAATCAAGGAGTCCCTTAATCCAATGGCAATTGGGTTTATGGGCAAAAACACTACCCATAATCATTTTTTAAACTATGCATTTTTGCTTTTAATCTTTGGGGTTGATTTGCTAGCTCAAGAAATGACCCGGAAATTTACATTTTCTAATTGCAGCAGGCATCGCTATTCAACTCCCACCTGGCAAAAAATCAATTTATTATATTTGTGTAGCCGCCCATCTCAGACAGGCAGCTGAACAGGATGCAAAAATAACCAGACTCATCCGTCATTGCTTTTAAAAATGCAAAGAGGCAACGACCAAACCCCCAATTTTGTTTTGCTTTTATTTATCTTACCAGGTGTTCTCGGATGCAGGTGGGCTTTGCATCACAATATAACATCTGCAGGGTTGCGACTTCCCTCTTAATCCAATCTCGTCATTGGTTAAAAAAAAAACCTTTCTTTAAGCCCTAGCTTTGTTATTCTTAGCTAGCAGAAAAACTCGGAACGTGGAGTTTCGGAAGGGGCCAGCTAATGTAATGGACCCTGAATCCAATTCCGTAGGATTTCCAAGCCAGTTTTTCCACGTAACCTTAGAACGCTTTTTTCCCCCTCCTCCTCCAAAATGCCCAGTTCCCAGGTCCTGAATGCGGTGTAACAAAAAGCAATACAGACTTTAAAGACGTGTTTCTACTTTACGTATGGCGACTCTTTTCTAAACAGAAGTGTTAAAAACAATCGAATATTGTCATGAATTAATTTGGAGGAGGGACTTTTAGCCATTTATAGCGACGCTGCTCTACGTACCTTCCAGAAGATTTATATCTGGTTCAATGGAAGAGTTAACACTACACTTTGCTAGATTTATAACCTTCTACCTCCATTAGGACAATCAGGAAAGTTTTGTCTTTTACAGTTTAATTAGGGAGACCTGAGAAGAAAGCTTGACCGCCCTGACGATGACCAAATGTTGCTTTTTTTCCACTGGTTTGCTGACTGGGTTTCCGACATGTGAACCCGCAACGTGGTTTGAAGCGCAGGACGCGAGTCTACCCTTTTCATATCTCCACGCCCCTTGTTTTGCAGAGCTCTGGACTGGAAGCAAGAGACGCCTCCGGCGCCGCCAAATGGGGGGAAGAAGAAGGCGGGGCTTAGCGAGAGACTAGCCGGCTCGGGATGCGCGTGCGCGGACCCGTGCGCGGTGCGTCGTCGCCATGGAAATGGAGAAGCCGTTGGCCGGGAGCCGTTTGAAGCCGGGAAAGGAGGCGGCGGCGGCGGCGAGGGCGAAGGGCTGATTAACTTCGCTGCGGGAGGAAGGATTACCCGCTGAGGAGAGAGTGAGGCGGAAGGGACGCATAACCCTCATTCGTATTCACACACTGTTAAAAAAAAAGAAAAACCATTGAATATTGGAAGTCCTCCTCGGTTTACAACGGCTCGTTTAGTGACCGCTCAAAGTGACACTGGGGAAAAAAAGGGACCGATGATGACCGTTTTTCACACTTAACGACCTCTGTAGCGACTCACGGTCATGTGGGGCTCTTCCTTATCACGTGATCCCCTTTTATGTCCTGACCAGAAAAGTCCGGGGGGTGGTGGTGGAGAAGCCAGATTCACTTAACAACTGGGTCCCTAATTTATCAACTGCGGTGGTTCACTTTAACCCCTGTGGCAAGGAAGGCTGTGAAACGGGGCAAAGGCCCATGGAACAAATGCCTCACTTAACGACAGACATTTTGGGCTTTGGTCGTAAGTCGAGGACATCTCACAGGGTTGCTGTGGGTGGGTGGGGGGAAATAGTGAGATTTTATGACCTTTCTTGCCGTTGTTGGTAAGTGAATCACGGCAGTCAATAAGTGAGGAACACAGTTGTTAAGTGAATCAGGCTTCCCCATGGACCTTGCTGGTGAGAAGGCTGCAAAAGGGCATCACGTGACCCCAGGACACAGCAAGCGTCATAAATGTGAGTCGTTGAGCTTCCAAATGTTGATCACCTGACCATGGGGATGCTGCAATGGTTGTAAGTATGAAAAACGGTTGTAAGTCACTTTTTTCGCTGCTGTGTCAAACGGTCACTAAACGAACTCCTTGTAAGTCAAGGACCACCTATAAAACTATTAATTAAGGATGTATTCCTATTATCCTTCTCTTTCCTCTTTCCTATCTCCTTTTCTACTTATGACTATAACTTTGTTGCTTGTACCTTTACGATTTATATTGTTTTATTTAGTTTCCTAGTACGATTTATGTTGATTGCTTATTTGGTATCCTATGACTATCACTAAGTGTTGTATCTTATGGTTTATGATGAATGTATTTTTATGATGATTATGATCATGATTTATCCCTTATAGCTTTTGTGTACACTCAGCTTATGCACTGAAGACGAATTCCTTGTATGAATTCTAACGCCTATTATAAATTCCTGGCCTTCTGTTCTAGGTGGCAGGACTGAAAATGTACCCACCCAGTGAAAAATCTGAATTAGGAGAGGCAGTTGCAACAGAGAGCAACGACCAAGAAATAAAAAACTGCGAGCAGGAAGGCAGCACTTCCAGCAACGGGGACAGCTCAGTTAAAGCAGGTAGCAGATCCAAGAAAAGAATGGCTATAAATGCCATTTGACCATGGAATATTATTATTAATTGAATTTATATTGCCACCTATTCGCCCATGGCGACTCCTTGGTAAAGTATAATGGCTCAATTGCAAACATTGTCATCTGAAATGTTGCTCTCTATTTTTTTTTTCCTATTTCATTACAATTGGTACATAAAGGTTCAAGTTTGACTCGGCCTTCCATCCTTCCGAGGTCAGTAAAATGAGGAGCCAGATTGTTGGGGGCAATAGGCTGACTCTATAAGGAGTGGTGTGGTAGCCTAGAGGTAGAGTTCTCGCCTCACAATCAGAAGGCTGTGAGTTTGATCCTAGATGGAGGCAGGTATTTTTTCTGCCCGAGCATATTGAGAATATATCTGCTGAACAAAATTCCGCACTGGTGACAGGAAGGGCATCCGGCCAGTAAACACTCTGCTAACTCCATTCAGTTGCCCAGACTCCACCCTGCAAGGGTTTATGGGGTTGTTAAAAAGCAGGTGATGATGAACAGGCTGACTTTAGTCACTTAGAGAAGGCTGTAAAGCACTGTGAAGCAATATATAAGTCTAAATGTTATTGCTATTGCACCTAAGGTGCTACTAGAGGTGCTAAAAAAACTTTGGTGATGCATGATAAGCTATATCTTAAAAAAAAGTCATTTTGACTGAATAAGTTACTTGGATGAGTAAGAAAACATCTCAGTTTTAATAAATTTTGCTCCAGTTGCCATGATTTAACCTTTTTAGATACTTTTGGCCTGGATGATTGAGTCTTCATTTACATGTGATAGCCTATGATTCCTGGCTTATATCAGTTCTTCAAAGTTCTTTGCATACTATAAAGAACCCATTCTGAGGCTGTTGTAACTCCAAACAGTCATAAAAATGACTGATTGTTAAGTCAAGGATTACTTGTACCACAAACATTCTCCTTGCATTATTTCTCAGTTGTAGAAACACAGATAAATAGAAGCGAACAAAATATAACTACATGACACAGAGTTCGTTCCCTCTTCTGACCATTTGTTCTTGTTTGCAGGTTCATTTTGAAAAAATTCCTCGCAACTCACTAGCTCTAACTAGGAAGCAGTAGCCTCATAGGCAGCTCGTGCAGACCTGCATTATTGTTGCATGAGTCTTGATTTCTACAAAAATTGACTCACTTGATGCGAGGCGGCATCAAAAACATTCTTTTGGGGCACATAGCTACAGTATGTTGGGATGCTAGCATAATTCAACACCTGCACTGTATATTGACTCCGTCTCTCCAACTCTTAGAAGAAAACCCTCAACTGCTTGAAGGAGAGCAAAGGAAAGAAAAGGATATTAGCTATGAGAATCCAAGACTGAAAACTGGCGACGTTGACTATAGCAATGGAGAACCAGGTAATTTCTTGCTTTCATTCTTGTTCAGTCTGTCCTTAAAAGCACAAATGCTTTTAAGAGGATAAGGTTTGCTTGTCTGGGTCAGCTAATGTTTCCATTTTAGTCCGGTATTCTGCTTTCTACAATGGCTAGCTGGTCTTGGCTAGTACAATATAGCAGCCTGCCCCTTTTTGTTCCCAAGACCTGATCAATCTAGGTTCACATAGGTTAGGTATAAAGGTAAAGGTGTCCACCTATCAATCACTTCTGACTCTAGGGGGTGGTGATCATCTCCATTTCTTAGCGTGGGAGCCAGTGTTACCTGAAGATATTTCCATGGTCATGTGGCCAGCCTGACTATAGGCCAACGTGCGCAGAATGCTGTCACCTTCCCACCAAAGTGGTACCTATTTATCTACTTGTGTTTGCATGCTTTTGAACTGCTAGGTGGGCAGGAGCTAAAGCAAGGAATGGGAACTCACCCCATTGCATGGCACTTGGGTCTCAAACCCAGGCTGTCAGCTTTCCAGCTGACAAGCTCAGCTTCTTTAAATACTGAGGCAATGTGCCCCCATGTTAGATATATCACACATAATTTGTTTAACCAGGTTTTGTTGAATAAACCACAGTGTTGTAAAGAATGAGGAACATTATGGCATAGACTGATGTGTATGTACAGTCACAATCCAGATGATGCAAAAACTCTGATTGGCATGAACACATAGCTGAGAAACATGGAGATTCTTTCCTACTTAATTTCTACACATCTGGCTCCTATTAAAAAACAGAAACTGCATTTATGTACCATAGCAAGAACAGGACATAGCCTCACATAATATACACTCTTAATTAATGAAAGTAAGTTCATGTCTCTTTCAGGATGATATACCAATTACCTTTTCCTATGTACAGTACATTTTACAATCTTTGCTTACACACTGAATTCTAGACCGAATCTTAGTTTTCACTGTAAAATGGAATCATTCGGATCAGAAGAATCCAAATGTTTAATGCCATGTTTAATGTTCAAGCAGCACTGAAAAGAGAAAATGCCAGGAGTGTCACTGATCAACAGACTATTGAGAAGACAAATAATAATCACAAGCCAGTACCTGATTCACGGTCTGGAGAATCAGACTTAAACAAATGTGGCTTGAGGTAAGTTATTTTTTTATATAGGTATTCCTTTTATAAGAGAAAAACCAAAATTGCTAGATTAGGAATAGTTGAGAGGTGAAAGCAGGATCACAGTTTCCTCCCTCAGTTATTTTACTTATTAGAATGAATCACGGTAAAGTATTACATCTATGCTAGCCCTGGCTATAGTTAAACCAAATTTTTGATGCAGGTTTTAAGCAAAATTTAAAAGTTTGGACGCTGGACCATTGGTAGGTAGTGAATTTTAAATATATCTTTGCACTGCTGACTAATAAAGTCATACTCTCTTCCAAATAATCCTAGGATTCACAATTCTTGTTAATGTTTTAGAATGACCAAAAAACTGTTGAGGGATCTCTGCAAACAACACAAGTTATATGTGACTCCAAGCTTGAATGACACCCTCTATCTCCATTACAAAGGTAAGAAGCCAAATGTTTGAAACTATAATGCACTATAATTGGGCATTTGGAAAAAAAATCTGTGTGCAAGTAGAGGGAGGGAGGGAGGGAGGGAGGGAGGGAGGAAGGAAGGAAGGAAGGAAGGAAGGAAGGAAGGAAGGAAAGGAGGATGGATGCATCTATAATCCCTTCTGTGTTATGAAGTCTTTCCTAAGCCTTACAAGCGGACATTTGAGGTTAAACCACCTTCAGGGCAAGTTGAAGGGTTTCTGATCAAATGAGGGCTGCATTGCAATTCACCCATCCTCATGTGTGAGCCGTTCATCCTTTCTGTTTACAAAGAGCATCTTTGAACATTCTCTCTGTGTTCCAATTCCTGTAGGATTTGATCGTTTGGAGAACTTGGAAGAATATACAGGCTTAAGGTGCCTGTGGCTAGAGTGCAACGGCCTGACGAAGATTGAGAACCTGACCGCGCAGACAGACCTACGTTGCCTTTACCTGCAACTCAATTTGATTCACAAAATTGAGAACCTTGAATCTTTGCAGAAACTGGACTCTCTCAACCTCAGCAACAATTATGTAAAGACCATTGAGAATCTCTGTAAGCATCTCTGTTTCTGAGGAAATAAGACTGGTTATTTGAATACGGTATTATTTTGCATTAGGATTGTTAGAGAGACAGACAGACGGACAGACAGTCAGAGGCGAAGAGAGAGAGAGACAGAGAGGGAGAGACAGACAGAGACAAAAAGGCAGATGGACAGAGAAATAGAGAGAGACAGAGACAGAGAACACAGACCAAAACAGCCGTAATAGTTTCTGGTAGTTGTAAAGTCAAGCACTTAATGTGTGATGTTTGATACACCCCTTCTGTTTCCACAGCAGATACTCTAAATTGCCCTTTCTCAAACTCAGACCATTAACTGAGTCCCACATCACAGTAGTGGTTTAATTGACTTTGCTTTTTGAAAATAATCACAATTGGCTGGCTTCCCCTAACATGCTAAGCCATTAACTATGTCAGACTAACCCTAGCTTTCTGCATTCACTCCATAAACTAAGACATTATTTCCAACCTTGGCCACTTTAAGAGAGCTGAACTTCAACTTCCCAGCATTCCCCAGCCAGCAAGACTCGCACTTCAACCCTGAGTACAGATATTTTGTTCCATCAAAAGATAGCCACAATAAATATTAAACACTTCCTTTGCACTTCAGTTGATTATTTCCCTTAGTATCTAAAACTGGCAGCCACAAGGGGGTTTACGTAATTCTCACTGTATAAACTCATTGTCCTTGCTCTAAGGTAAATTTGTTTTTTTTAATAAATTGTATTAATGAAACAACAGAAAGAAAAAACATTTAAAAACAATGTTTTTATTATTTGTAAATTTGGAAAACACACAAACACACACACACAAAACCACCCCTCAGGATTGTTAGTATTTTCCTAACAACTGTAAGGCTATACAATGCTACCAAGAGCCACATTGATCACTCCAGAAAATTTGCAGAAGAAATTTATCTCAGGGCATTTTAATCTGACTACTGTGATTTTTCAACAGCTTGTTTGAAAGTTCTCCACACTCTCCAGATTGCTCACAATTTGTTACGAACAGTGGAAGACATACAGCACTTGCAAGATTGCCCGAGTATCAGCGTCCTCGATCTTTCTCACAATAAGCTAGACGATCCACATATTATAGAAGTCCTGGAAACCATGCCTGATTTGGTAAGCCAATATCCAGCTCTTAGGCTCAACGTCGCCTGATTCACCCACATTCAGCAATTCGAAGAGCTTCTTCCAGTTTATTGTTACAGGTAGTCCTCGCCTTAGGACCAAATTTCTAAGTTACTAAGCAAAGCGTTTGTTAAGTGAGTTTTACCCCATTTTACAATCCACAACGTTTGCCATGTTTGAAGGCCCTTGCTCTACAAACTGAAAGCTGCCCTTCTAAGAGTCTTGCTCATGCAGCATTCAAGACAGTGATATTCACTTGCTGGTTTAATAATTGGCTATTTCCTCACATGCTTTCAGATGCATCCCACACCTAACAAGTCTCCCATGCTAACATAGCCTTATTTTGGGTTGCTGGAGTTAACATTTAGGTCTATATAGGTGATGCTTTTCAAAGAATGGGATAAAAGAAATCCAGGGAGGGGGGAAAGTATGTATAAACAGGGCAAGCTATGGGATTATATCCCATACAATAAGGCAGAGGTCTCCAAACTTGGCAACTTTAAAACTTGTGGACTTCAACTCCCAGAATTCTCCAGCCAGCATAGCATAGAATTCTAGAAGTGGAAATCCACAAGTCTTAAAGTTGCCAAGTTTGGAGACCTCTGCAATAAAGGATTGAGAGCTAAACCTGCAGTCACAATGTGGCTAGGAAATGCATTAAAGGCATAAAAATAAATGAGATAAGTGCATAAAAACAAGTCACTGAAAGTTAGCTTCTCAAAACGTAACATTTAATGGTTTCTTGCTTGTTTTCTTCGACAGCGTGTGTTGAACCTAATGGGGAATGAAGTCATTAGGAAAATAACTAACTATAGGAGGACCCTTACTATCCGATTAAAACAACTGACTTATTTGGATGACAGACCGGTTTTCCCAAAGGAGAGGTAAAATGAGCAAGGAGATTGTTCTTTCTCAGCCTCACTAGTAAAAGATTCATAAATATTTAGTTCTAACTACAGGTGCATTTTGCATTTGTATATCAAGTGATAACAAAAGATTTTTTAGAAAAATCAGTGCAAAAAACCAGGGTACAAAACCCCTGGAGCTAAACCAAAAGGATTCTTCATATATAACAGGTAAAGATAAAGGTTCCCCTCGCACAGACATGCTAGTCGTTCCCTGCTCTAAGGCGCGGTGCTCATCTCCATTACAAGGCCGAAGAGCCAGTGCTGCCCGAAGATGTCTCTGTGGCCATGTGGCCGGCATGACTAAACGCCGAAGGCACACGGAACGTCGTTACCTTCCCACCAAAGGGGTCCCTATTTTTCTAGGTGCATTTTTACGTGCTTTTGAACTGCTAGTTGGCAGAAGCTGGGACAAGGAACGGGAGCTAACTCCATTATGCGGCACTAGGGATTTGAACCACCAAACTGCCGACCTTTCTGATTGACAAGCTCAGCGTTTTAGCCACTGAGCCACCACGTCCCTTCATATATAACAGCCCCCAGGTAATCTCTCCTTGGTGCATCTGGAGATACACTTTTCTCCAGAGAGGCACCACACCATTAGATCTACACGCACCCAGAAGGTTGAGGGCGGTTCCCGAAACACGAGCGAGGGCAGCATAGCAGTCTAGATTCTAAGAAGCCTGTCTTCTTCACTGCATCCAGCTTTGGTCACCATATTATGAAAAATACATTAAGACTCTGAAAAGAGTGCAGGAAAGAGCAACAATGATGATTAGGGGACTGGAGGCTGAAACATACAATGAACGGTCGCAGGAACTGGGCATGGCTAAGTCTAGTGAAGAGAAGGACCAGGGGAGACATGACAGCAGTCTTCCAGTATCTGAGGGGCTGCCACAGAGAGGAGGAAGGGGTCAAGTTATTCTCCAAGACCCCTGAAGGCCAGACAAGGAATAATGGGAGGAAACTGAACAAGGAGAGATGCAACCTGGAAATAAGGAGGAATTTTCTGACAGAGCAATCAACCGATCAACTTCTGGAACAGAGGTTGCCTTCAGAAGTTGTGGATGCTCCAACATTGGAGATTTTTAAGAAGAGACTGGGCAACCATTTGTCTGAAATAGTACAGGATCTCCTGCTTAGCAGGGGAATGGACTAGAAGACCTTCAAGGCCCCTTCCATCTTTGTTAGGAACTTTCTATAGAAATGGCTGAAGCCCACTTCCGGCTATCTCATGGAAATCCTCCTTTTCCCCTTCAGAGCCTGTGCAGAAGCCTGGGCTGCAGGAGGACGTGATGCTGAAAAAAAAGAAAAGGAAATGTGGGAATCGAAAGAAAGGAAGAAGATACAAGACAGCATGGATGCTCTCACTGCAGTCCGAGAAAAAGCCAAAGAGAGGAAAAAACAGAAGGAAATGAAAGAAAGGGACATCGGCTCAGTCGATGAAGGTTTGTGACTTTTGTAAAATGTATTCTAGGCCACACTTAATAACATTCCTTAATAACATTCATGTTTTTAATTTATTTGTTTATTAAATTTTTATGCCACCCATCTCCCCTGTAAAGTAACTCTGGGTGGCACAAATAAATGCATGTTACTACCCTCATTTTCTCCTTGATAAACGAGCCCAAAATGGTGCCACTAAAATTCATATAGACATTGCAATATTCTTACTTAAATATATTTAAGCAAGTTTTAATTCAGTCAGTTTGTATATTTAGTTCATATTTAAAATCCTGCTTTGCTTACTTTAAAGAAGCCAGGACAAATCATCCTTCTGCATGTAATTTTTTTTTCAACAAATGCCAGAATTAAATCTACCGACAGTTTGTTTTTAATCTGTTATTTGGACCATTCTAGAGATGATCCCATCTTCAAGCAACGATGCCGTGGCCGAAAATGGGACGGAGACATCAGATGTTTTGGAACCACTGCAGACAAAGCAGAAGATTGAGAAATTTGTGAAAGACACTTTTGGCGCCCACAAAGAAGCTATAGCTGCAGAGGAAATCTTGGGTGATCAGTCGAGGAGATCAGAGAATAATCCACATGATCAGGAAGCACAGGAAGCGGAATTGAAGGTGGCTCCTGGCTTGACAGCTATTGAAAAAGGTAAGGGGCATCTGTAGATAAGAAAGCAGTTGGGATGCCAAGAACGATCCAGAGTTGGCTTGAAGGGAAAACCATACAGGTAGTTTTGGACTTAGGAAGCTACAACAGCACTGAAATAGAAATAGAATAACAGAGTTGGAAGGGACCTTGGAGGTCTTCGAGTCCAACCCCCTGCCTAGGCAGGAAACCCTACACCACTTCAGACAAATGGTTGTCCAATCTCTTCTTAAAAACATCCAGTGATGGAGCATTCACGACTTCTGGAAGCAAGTTGTTCCACTGATTAATGGTTCTCACTGTCAGGAAATTCCTCCTTAGTTCTAGGTTGTTTCTCTCCTTGATTCGTTTCCAACCAATGTTTCTTGTCCTGCCCTCAGGTGCTTTGGAGAATATCTTGACCCCCTCTTCTTTGTGGCAGCCCCTGAGATATTGGAAGACTTGTGTCATGTCTCCCCTAGTCCTCCTTTTCATTAGACTACAGACCCAGTTCCTGCAACCGTTCATGTTTTAGCCTCCAGTCCC